TGATGAGGAGGAGGAGGATGAGGATGCGGATGATGATGATGATGATGATGATGATGATGATGATGATGATGATGATGATGATGATGATGATGATGCTGATGCTGATGCTGATGCTGATGCTGATGATGCTGATGATGGTGATGGTGATGGTGATGGTGATGATGCTGGTGATGGTAATGATGATGATGATGCTGCTGATGATGATGCTGATGCTGATGCTGACGATGACGATGACGATGACGATGATGATGATGATGATGATGATGATGATGATGATGATGATGATGATGATGATGATGATGATGATGATGATGATGATGATGATGTTGATGACGATGATCATGATGATGATGAGGAGGAGGAAGAGGAGGAAAAGGAGGCAGTGCAGGAGGAGGAGGAGCGTGCCGCACACGGAGCTTGCTATGGTCTGCTCAACTACATCTGAAGATGTATCGAAACAAGTCGCGTGCCGTTGCCTTTTCAAGAGACGTACATGGCCAGTTGGTGTGCAAGTTGCGAAAGTATCATGTCAACGGCGTGGTTACCGATTGCAATCTCGGCATATGTTGTTCAGTAGCCATGTGCAGTGTTCGCCACACTAGGAATGCTCGCAAGGCATCAGCTGTTGTCTGGGCCCGTAAGGCCCTCTCTTTTGGCAAGCACGTACACAAGCGCAGAGTACATCACATGAGGCAGGCTGCTTCTCTGGGAACGTCGCTGATTACCCCCCCCCCCAGACCCCCGAACTTTATTACCCTACAAGGGTTATTATCGGGGGCACATGGCTAGCGACCATGATGGCGATCATGTTTGATCCTGCTGACCATGACGTGACGATGATGATGGCGACGATGACGATGACGATGACGATGGTCATGGTGATGCTGCTGGTGATGATGACGGTGTTCATGCTGCTGCGGATGATGATGTTGATGACGATGCTGGTGATGCGTCTGCTGCTGCTGATGAAGATGACGCCGATGATGCTGGTGCCGGGGCGATCATGATGTGAGCGGACTGGTGACGACGATGGTTGAGATGACGATGCTGAAGTTGAGGGTGTTGATGTTGTTGGTGATGGTGACGCCGATCGTGATGATGGTGCAGATGCTGGTGCTGCTGATGCTGCGGATGATGATGCGGATGCTGCTGCTTGTGATGATGATGTTGATGGTGATGATCACGATGTGTGTGTGGTGATGATGATGTTTTTGATTGTGATACTGCAGCTGCTGGTAATGATGGTCGTGCTGATGTTGGTGATGAGCGTGACGCAGGTTATGCTATTTGTGGTGGTGATGCTGATTGCAATGGTAATGATGAGAATTCGGTTGGGGATGGATGAATGGATCCATTAGGACGATAAAGAGGGGGAGGAAGAGGAGGAGGAGGAAGAGAATGAGGAGGAGGACGCGGAGGAAGAACATGAGAAGGAGGAGGAGGAGGAGGAACAGATGGAAGAGGGGGAGGAGGACGATGAGGAATTAGGATGGGGATGATGATGATGATGATGATGATGAGGAGGAGGAGGAGGAGGAGGAGGAGGAGGAGGAGGAGGAGGAGGAGAGAGGGGGGAGGAGGAGGAGGGGAGGAGAGGAGGAGGAGGAGGAGGAAGAGAAGGAGGGGGAGGAAGCGGAGGAACAGGAGGAGAAACATGAGGTGTGACTGACGATGAATGGGGGAAGATGGCGGAGGCGGAGACGGAGAGGAAGAGCAGACAAAGAGGGAAAGGACGAGGACGAGGACGAGGAGGAGGAGTAGGAGGAGGAGGAGGAGGGGGAGAAGGAGGAGGAGGGGGACGAGGAGGTCGTTGCCGCCGCTGCGCCCCCGCAGGGCAACAGCGCCTCCACGGCCGCCACTGCGCCCTCGCGGTCGCCCTCGTCCTCCATGTCCTCCACCGCGGAGGCGCCGCCGCCGCCGCCGCCGACGACGACGACGACGACGACCTCACCTCGTGGTGCCCGTGCGTGCGGAGCGTGGGAGGGAAGAGGAGGAGGAGGAGGAGGAGGAGGGGGAGGAGGAGGAAGAGGAGGAGGAGGAGGAGGAGGAGGAGGAAGACGCGGACGAGGACCAAGACCACTACAACGGTTCATTTCCACAGGGAATTGCCGAATTGGAAGACCGTTTGAAGACCTTGAAGCATGCAAAAACATTCTTCTTGGGATTCCAACGCCACGGATCAACCTTCCTGTTGCGTCTTGACGATTCTGAATCTTGCCAGAACGCTATTCGTGGGACCTGAACACCGCGAATCCACATAATTATCTGTTGCACCCTCATAATCTTGAATTTTACCAACAAGTCATGCTTGCTACGCTGATCATGGGAAGATGTGAAACTCTCGCCAATTGTCCAAAATCAAATGCGCGCGGCGCTAAGGCGAGAACCACATTTTGAAATGGAGCAGCCCTCAATCCGTGAAGCTCTTGCAACTTTTTACGACGAATGTGCGCGGCGCTAAAGCGAGAGCCACATTTTGAACACCATTCGCTTTCAATAGGCGAGAACCACATTTTGAAAACGGCCCGCCCTCGATGTGTGAAACTGTTGCTACTGTTGAAGCTTCATGATCATACATGAGGAGGAAGTCTCAGGCGAAACGCCCAGCCCGCCCTAAAAATTATCCCCGGGGTGCGACAGGGATCAGTTATTTCCCAGGGAAACGAATGGAGGAGGAGGAGGAGGAGGAGGAGGAGGAGGAGGAGGAGGAGGAGGAGGACGAGGAGGAGCAGGAGGATGGGGAGGCGTTCCGTCCATCCCGCGTCGCGGACCTCCCCCGTCCCCAGCTGGCCAAGACGGCGGGCAGCACCTGCCACCCCTATTGTTGCGAGCCACCAGATGATGTCTGGGCTGCCCTGGGGCGGATCCGTCGAGGCCTCGGTGCATGGGGCCGCTAGCCGGAGGGTGGAGCGCCAGGACCGGTGGCCCGAGGCAGGCGCGAGAGAGCGACGCTCAGCGATGGGACGGGGCAGCGGTGGAGGCAACGTCAGGGGGAGCAGTCTGAGCAGTCTGCGGTGCCGGTGCCTTGTGGCTCCCCCTCCCCGCGGATGGGGAGGGCTTGCACAGGCTGCGTGCCGTCGGCTGCACGGGCCGCAGCTCGTGTGAGATACCGCCCGCGTCGTGCCGAGGGGCCTCGGCGGACCCGCGCACGCCGACGCGAGAGGGCACGCGCTCGGCGCCCGCGCGCCGGCTCGGAGGGCCGGCGGCCCCGCGGGCCCGCCGTGGCCCCGGCCAGATGCCGCCTGGGCGGGCCTGCGCCGTGGGCCCGCCTGCGCCCGGGGCGGGCGCGGCGCCCGGGTGCCGGGTGTCCATGGGGCCCCTCGCAAGCCCAGACATCCGGCGTGCCGATTTTTCCGAGGCGCGGGCTCCCGAGGCTTGTGCTTTTTCCCGAGTTGTGTTTTTGCTGGTCTCGGTGGGCTGGCGAGGGCCGACAATTCTTAAAAAAAGAACAGAAGAAAAAATCCTCCGACATCCGCAGATCCGATTTCTTTCACTGCGCGGCCCCATAGATCCCGACCCCTCCCCTGTGCCCAGTTCTTCGCCCTCGATTCGTTCTGACGCTCCCGGGCCCCGGCCCCCAGAGGCCGAAGTGGTAGGAAAAAAGCACTGGTGGAGCAAGTCAGATCGTCGGAGGTCTACTCTGAGATCCGAGGTTGCAAAAAGCAAGTGCAGCATCGCCAAAATCATGACCGGACCCCCAGACCGAATCTTCCTGCGTCGTTTTTGGGGCTGGATCGATCTGTAAGGGTCCCGGGGTTTGAAGTTGAGCGAAAACGTCTGGCTTGAAAAATTGAGTCGCCAGGATCTCAGGGGCAGTCCGTCTCAATCTGATTTCGACACGCCGGATGTCTGGGATGCGCGCCACCGGACGGCGCGGGCGCGCCAGCCGGGGCACCGCGCTGGCGCTCGGCGCCGCCGCCGGCGCCCGCCGCGCACCGCGGGCGTGGGCGGCAGCCGTGGCCTGCCACGCGGGCGCCGCCGGCGCCTCCGCGGGCGTGGGCGCGGCCCTGGGGGCGCCGCTGGTGGCGGCAGTGGGGCTGATCCTGTGGGACAAGCTCGGGTCGGGCGAGAGGGGGGGAGTGCCCAGGGGGGGGGGGAAGCTTGAGACTCCCCAGGTCCCCTCGCGCTGTGAACAAAAATCACGACGGGAGGTTTTTCGCTATCTTCGGCCTCTGGGGGCCCTTCCCGAGCCTCGGGACCGTCAAACAACGATTCAGGATGAAGACCGGTCCCAGGGAAAGGGTCCAGACCTCTGGGGGTCGACAAAAAGAACAAATCACGACGTCGGGGATCTGGGTCGGGCGTTGCAATTTTGGCACAGCGGGCATTTTCGCCAGGTGTCGGGCCCCAGGGCCATCGCAGGTCGATGCGGTCCGAAAAGTGGCGTGGAAAGAGGGGGCCCAGGCCTCCGGTTGTGTTTTTGTACGATATCCGGGTTTTTTTCTGGACGTTGGATGTCAGGGACTGCTATCCTTGCGTGTTTTAATTTCTTGTGGCCCTCATGGAAAGCCCCTGGAAGAGGTCTGGGTAGCGGCCGGTCCCGTGTGTTTCCCCCCCATGCTGCTGCCATCAGCTGCCCCGCCGCCAGGCGCTGTCCTCGACACATTGGTCCCTCAGACGCTGGGAGGCGCCAGGAGAATCGCTAGATTCTCTATCTACTGTGGGATCCGACGTTGTGAACAAAAGTGGGACAGCCTCAACAATCACGACAAGAGCCTTCTAGGCCCCGTCTTTCAGCTGTTTTTTTTTCGAGCCCGGTCGTTCTGTGATTGGTCCCAGGACCCGAAATCTGGCGAAAATGCCCTTCGTGCAACAATTTCAACGCCTGGATCTCAGGTTACCCTCCCCTTTCGCCCGACCCTCCCAGCACTGGGCGGGCTCAGCCTTTGCCCTTAACCTCTTCAAGTCCTGGCTGGCGAGCGCCATCCTGGCCGGCATCCTGGCCTTCACCACCGCCGGCGGGCTGGGCCAGGCGGCCAGCCTGCTCGACCGGGACGCGGGGCTGGCGTTGTGCTTGTCGTCCCTGGTCGGCATCGTGGTCGGCGACACCGCCTGGCTGGCGTCCATCAGGAGACCGTTCTTTGATGCCCTGGAGTTTTTGTTGAGGGGGTCGGTCATGTCGCAATTCGCGCCAGCGCCGTCTGGGAAGGAATGGCTGATTCCCACGCGGTGCCGGCGCGACTCGCGACGTGACCCAGGGGTTTTGGGGCCTTGGCCAGTCACCGGCTTTGTCGCGAATCATACCAATGGGTTCCAGGCTGATCGGCGCCCGCCGGGTGCTCTTGGTGGACTCCCTGAAGCCGTTCATCGCCGCGGCCGCGGGCGGCTTCGTCTTCCGCGAGGAGGCCTCGGTCTGGAGCTTGGCGTCGATGGCGCTGGCCGTGGCCGGGGTGCTGATGGTGTCGCTGGAGCGCGAGGGCCCCCGGAAGGAGGCGTGGGGCCAGAGCGGGCGCCGTAGGCTCCTCGGCTACGTGCTCGCGCTGCTCACCGTCGCGCTCGACGTGGTCGGGGCGGTGCTCACGAAGGGCTTCGGCACGGGCCTGAGCCCCTGGGCCAGCGCGAGGAAGACGCAGCGGCATCAGCACACGAACCTTCGGAGCTCCGCGTGTCTGTCTCGGGTCTGCGCCGGGCCGCCCTTGGCTGCGCCTCCGCCGCCACCCTTGGCACGCTCCGCGCGCCAGGAAGGGGGGGTCCAGCGCCGATCCAAGAGATCCGCGCGGACCTCGGAAAGTTTGTGCCCGTGCCGCTGTGTAATTCTTTGCCATCAGCGCCGTCCGCTTCGGCTTCGCGGCGCTCTGCCTCGGGGCGATTGCGGCTGCTGGCGCCGCGGCGCACGCGGCGCGCGGCGCGTGGCGTCGGCGCGCTGCGTGCGGCACCGACGAGGGCACCGCCGCGGCGGAGGCGAGCACCTGGCGCCCCGAGGCTCGTGCAGTTAGGATTCATAGTGAAGATAGTTCCAAGCATAATCACAGCAAGACGTACAACGAATGCACAGGCATCAACTTTAGGAGGCAGGACTCGAGCCAAACGGTGTTTGGCGATTTCGTGGGCCGTGTTCGTTCTGATTCCGTTTTGCAGCAACGGCGGACCGACGGCAACGAAAACAAGATGGAAGCGGAACAGGGGCAGTGCTTACGTCGAGCCTTGCTTTCGGATGTCCGCGCGGACTTCGTGGATCGGCGACGGAGGCGCCGTCAGGGAGGCCAAGCGCCGATCCGAGAAATCCGCGCGGACCTCAGGCGGCACCCGGGCCGCGGTGGTTCCGGCTGCCAGCGCAGAGCGCGCGCAGCTGGCGGCGCTCGGCGGCGGGGGTCGTGTTCATGACGGTGCTGTGTCCCGCGCTGAGCAACCTGGCGCTGCTGACCCTGCCGGCCGTGGTTCGCTGGCCACCCGCGGCGGCCCAGGGTGCGGCAATGAGGTGCGATTCACATGGGGAGGTCCGAGGGCCAAGGATGGGGAATCCCAGACCCCCCGAGTCGTGGAGAATTCACGGCGGACGGTTTTGGGCAACTTTCGGCCTTCGGGGGCCCTCACAAGGCCCTGAGACCGTCAACAAAAACGACTCGGGATGAGGACCCGTCCCAGGGAATGGGTCGGGTTCTCCAGGCCCGCGGATTGAACAAATCATATCGCCGGACGTCAGGGCTCAAGGTTTTGTTGGACGCCCTTGGAGCTTCTGTTGGCCTCCGTGGGAGGCTTTTCGTCGCCACGGCGGAGATCTTCTTCTGAACTCTGGTCGCACCCATGATGCACCCAGGGGTTGATTTGTGGTTCCCCCCAGCCTCAAGAGGCAGTCCGAATTGCCGTAAACAGCCAGCGGCCTCAAACCGGGGGCCAGGTGGATGGCTTTCTGAGAAGAGGGGGTCCCTTTTGGAAAGGCTTCGGGGGCTTACGATAAGAAGGTTCCTCAGAAGGCGGGAGGGCTTCTACGAAGCCCCCTGCTCCCGTAGAAGGCTGGGCGGTGGGGGTGGGAGAAGGAGAAGGATGATGATGAGGAGGAGGAGGAGGAGAGGAGGAGGTGGAGGAGGAGGAGGAGGAGGAGGCGGGCGAGGAGGAGGAGGAGGCAGAAGAACAGGAGGAGGACGAGGCGGAGGAGGAGAAAGAGGAAGGGGAGGGGGGGGACGTGGAGGAGGAGGAGGAGGAGGACGGAGAAAAACGAGGAGGAGGGGAAGAGGAGGAGGAGGAGGTGGAGGAGAAGGAGGGGGAGGGGGAGGAGGAGCAGCAGGGGCAGGAGGAAGAGGACTACGAGAAGGGGGGGAGGACGAGGAGGAGGAGTTTGGAGGAGGTGGTGGAGGTGGAGGTGGAGGTGGAGGTAGAGGTGGAGGTGGAGGTGGAGGTGGTGGAGCAGGAGGAAGAGGAGGAAGAGGGGACGGGACGGGGAAGGAGAAGGGGGAGGAGGAAGCGGAGGAAGGGGAGGAGGAGAATGAGGAGGAGGAGGAGGAGGAGGAAAAATAATGATAAGAGGAGGCGGAAAGAGGAGGCCGACGGGGGTGACGAGGGGAACGAGGAGGAGGGGGAGGGGAGGGACGGGAAACCGAACGCGATGGTTGGAAGGGGGAAGGAGACCATTGGAGAACGAAGAGAAGAATGAAAGGTGGTTACGTGAGGACGACAAGTCAAAGAAGAGGGCGCGACGTGGACTATCAGGGGGAAGAGCAGGATTGACATGGAGGGGGAGGAGGCGGAGGAAGAGGAGGAGGAGGAAGAGGAGGAGGGGGAGAAAGGAGGAGGGAGGAGGGCGGAGGGATGAGGGAGGAGGGATGAGGGAGGAGGGAGGAGGGAGGAGGGAGGGAGGGGGAGGAGGCGGAGGAGAGAGGAGGAGGAGGAGGAGGAAGAGGGAGAGAGGCGGTTGTGTGGAGGATGCGATGATGGTGATGATGATGATGATGATGATGATGATGACGATGACGATGATGATGATGATGATGATGATGATGATGATGATGATGATGATGATGATGATGATGATGATGATGACGATGCTGATGATGATGATGATGATGATGATGATGATGATGATGATGAGGAGGAGGAGGAGGAGGAGGAGGAGGAGCAGCAGCACCAGCATGAGCAGGAGCAGGGGCAGGATGGACGTGGACACTGCCCACGTTTTTATGCACAGAACATACACGTGCATCGTTTTCGCGCCCATGGGCCCACGAGCGGGTGACCGTGGTCACCCGCTCCCGTGCGCGAGTGCGCTCGCAACACGTGTCTGTGCATTTGGCTCCTGTGGATTCTTGATTTATGATGTCGATTCGTGCAGCCAGAGGCTGCAATTTTACATTGGGTCTTCATCGTTGGGTTTCGATGTAGCTTTGCCAGCGTTTGCATGCAGAGCGCATACTAAATGCATTGTCTTCGCGTCCGTGGGCCCCCGAACGGGTGGCCGCGGTCACCCGCTCGCGTACGCGACTGCGTTTGCAGAACGTGCTTGTGAGATTCCTGATTGTTATGGCCACGTGCTGCAGCCATAGCATTGGATTTTACAGTGGGTTTTCATCATTGGGTTTTCGATGTAACATTGCCCGCGCTTGTATGCAAACCACATGCCGCACGAATCGTCTTCGCCCGCGTGGGCCCACGGACGGGTGACCGTGGTCACCCGCTCGCGTGCGCGAGTTTGCCCGCAGAATGTGTCTGCGTATTGGATCTAGTAGAGTCCTAATTGATTTAGTTTGTTCTTGCAGCCAGAGAATGAAATTTTACATTGGGATTCCACCAGTGGGCTCTCGATGTGACATTGCCAACGTCGGCATGTAAACCGCGTGCACCATGCATCGCCTTCGCGTGCGTGCGCCCACGAGCAGGTGACCGCGGTCACCCGCTCGCGTGCGCGTTTGCGCTTGCGCGTTTGCGCTCGCAGCACGTGTTTGTGCATTGGCCATTGCGCATTTGCGGGTAAACGGATCCCGTGCAGCTGTGGAAGGTAATCTCACATTGGGTTTCGACCCGTGCTTTCTCGATGTAGCATTGCCCCACGCTTGTGCGCAAAACGCATGCTACATTCATCGTTCCCGCGCGCGGGCACGCGAGTGGGTTGCCGCTGTCGCCCGCTCGCGTGCGCAAGGGTGCTCGCAGACCGCGTTTGTGTATTGGCCTCTACACAGCGATGGTTGATATGGCCACCTGATGCAGCCAGAGAATGAAATTTTACATTGGGTTTTCATCAATGGGTTTTCGATAAAATTTTGCCGCCGCTTCACGCAACAACTTACTACGTGCACCGTTTTTTGCGCGCGTGGGCCCACGAGCGGGCGGCCGTGGTCACCCGCTCGCGTGCGCGAGTGCGCTCGCAGGGCGCGTTTGTGCATTGGGTCCTGTAGACTCCTGATTGATATAGCCGCGTGTTGCAGCCAGAGGATGGTATCTACATTGGGTTTCCACCAGTGGGTTTTCGATGGGCAGTGCTCGTCGAGGGGCTGTTCTATGCGTTCGGATACCTTTGCGTCCAATTTGGGACGTCTCTTGGGGGGTTTGCGGTTGAATGTCGCCGCGCGGGCGAAAGATCGAGCATGCGCGTCGCGGGCGCCATGGCCACCGGGGAAACAGATGCTCGGCCTCCTGGCGGACGTATGTTTTTTGAGGGTGTCGTTCCTGAGTCGTTCCAGAGAGCACGCAAATTGTTTCAAAATTTCCGCCGTGCCTCCAATATCGCAGACGCCGGCGGTGAATCACCTCCCCCTCCCTGGTGGGCGCGCATCTGTCGCCGAACGTCCTGGTCAAAGGTCGGCCAATCGATCCGCTCGCGCACTCGCGCATCCCAAACTCTCATTTGTCTCAGCGCAGACGCCCATCAAGAGCAACCCGAAGACCACAATGCAACGGTTGCCCAACTTTTTCGGGGGCGGGAGTGGGGCGAACGCAACGACGCGCGCGCGTTGCGCGAGCCGGGCCGCGCTGCGTCCACACCGCTCGATGCGAAGAGCCGCGCGGTGAAATGTTGTTGTGTCGTGCGATGTTTGCGCTCGCGCTTAAATGTCCATCCCCCCTCGTCGCGCGCCCCGTGTTTTTGTTCCCGACCTAGGCTCTGGCTAGAAGGGTTCTTATTCTGTTCGATTAAAGGGGCCAGGCAGTGTAAACCGCCCCGGGCGATTCCCCCAGCCACCTGGGAGCCGAGCGAAAGCAGCGGCAAAGGTAAAAGCAAACGCGCGGTTCCCCCAGTTGCGCCCCCTGGGTGGCAAGCAGAGGCAAACGCAAAGGCAAGCGTGAAGGCGAAAACGAAGGAAACGCAACATACTAGCATAGCATAGCATAGCGCAGCATAGCATAGCATAGCATAGCGCAGCATAGCATAGCATAGCGCAGCATAGCATGGCATCGCACAGCCACGCCTAGCCTAGCCTAGCCTAGCATAGCATTGCGCAGCATGGCATAGCATAGCATAGCATAGCACAGCACAGCACAGCAGAGCAGAGCCGAGCAGAGCATAGCATAGCATAGCATAGCGCAGCACAGCATCTATGACCATGATGCGGAGAAGGAGGAGGATGGCGTTTACCGCTCCTACTAATGTTGCTTTCCTAGAGGTCCCCACTCCTAGGTAGTGTCGCACTGGGATAATTGTTTTGTTTGCGTCGGTTGTTTCCGCCCTCGCCTGTTCCCCCGCCATCGTCGAGGTTGTTCTCTGTGTGCGTCCACGTCGCCCCACTCCCTCGCGCGGCAGATTTCCCCACCCCCTCTGTGCTGCGCCTGATCTGCTTCCTCCAGGACCCGCGGCGCTGTGGCGCGGGCGATGGCGACGCGCGGCGTAGTTCCAGATGTCGGTGGGGCGCACTGCGGGCATGGGGGTCTGTCATCAGTCTCCTCGTTTTTTTGTTTTGTTGTTTTTTCTTTTTCTTTTATTATTCCTCTTCTTCTTCCGGTCGCGCTGTGATCAGCTTTGTTTCGTCGATACCAAACGCGCCCGCAAACCGCCGAACCTCGTTGCGACGTCTGCCGCCAGAGCCAGTCGCGCGCAGTTGATGTTTTTTTTTTTTTTTTGTTTTGTTTGTTTTGTTTGTTTTTTTCTTTATTATTGTTGTTGTTTTCCCGGCGGGCGGCCGCGCGCCCGGCCTGCTCGCGTATTTTTTGGTGGCGGCTTCTTGGCGCCATATGGGGGGCAACTAGTTGAGCGACATCATCGGGTTGCGCTTCGCGGCACTCGACAAAACTAGGCATTGGTTGCGCCGTGGCCGCGGCGCCACGGCTTTGCGGGCGCCGCGTCGCCGCGGCAATGCTGGCGCGACCGAGCGTTGCGAGAGGGAGTTGCGATCCTATTTGAACGCGTGTTTACGAGGGCAAACGTCATATGCGCAAACTGCATTTTTTGTTTCCCCCCAGCGCCCCCTGCCCCGCGCCTCCGCGCAGGCCTCTAGAGCATGGCCCCTGGGCGTTTCCAAAACGCACGCACGCGCGCGTGGAGCGCATTGGAAACGTGGAACATATTTGAAAACGTGGAAAATT